TACCTCGAAGACGAAGCTGGAGCAACGGCGCTGCAGGTAAGTCTCCCTGGCCTCCGCCCAATCTCTCTCTCTCTCTAGTACTGCTCTAGCTCCTAGGCGCCCAGCGCTGAAGACTACTGCTAACGCCACTAGCGCCCAGCGCTGAAGACTGCTGCTAGCGCTACAACTACTACCGCAGAGCTCCTCCAGAGTGCTGCTGCCGAATCCTGAAGACTACCTCCTGCCTCCTGAACCGCACGTGAAGTGCCTGGGAAGTACCTAGGAACTACCTGCAGCCTGCAAGGCGGGCCAGTCTTATACAGTGCTGGGCCGTCCAGGAGGCTGCTCTTGCCAATGCCAAAATGTGCCAGACCCTGGGGTTGAAGCTCAAACGAAGGTTGTCTTGAAAATCGGCCAAAAATGGCCTGAGCTAAAACCCTGGTCTGGTGCCTGAGTTTCAGGGCAGGTCGATCTTATGAGGGCCTGAAAATGGCCCTCAGTTTCAGGCTGAAAAGGGGGCGAAGTTGACGATCTGAAGGTGGAACCTGGACACGGGTGCGACGTGGAGCCGAAGATACCGGCTTGCCTTGCATCTTGTGTGCGTAGCGTGCTAGAACAGCGCTGTTGCTTGGAGTTCCACACGGGTCAACCAACGGTCAGCTTTGTGGGTGCAGTACGCAAAGTGTACCAAGTACTCGGTTGGCCTGTTGCCGTAGCGTCGCTGGGAGATGATGTCGCTAACCTCTTGAAAACCGTTCATCGAGGGTGGGTCTTGGGATCGTCGCCCGGGAAAGTCGTCATGTTCCGCTGGTGTGTAAAGAGCCAACTTGGAGCAATGAAAGACCGGGTAGACGGGCATGTGGGCGGGCACCTGAATGGTGAAAGAAGGTCCTTCGGGTGCATCCCCAGCGGGTGCCACGATCGGCCAAGGCCCCATCCATTTCGGGAGGAGCTTGCGTGACATATCTTGTTCAAGGCTGAATTTCGTGGCGGAAACCCAGACAAGGTCGCCGGTGCGGAATGGACAGGGAAGACGCTGGCGATTGACTTGTTGGCTCATGCATTGCTGCGTCTTTGCCATCTGGTCCCATGCCTTGACAAGGAGCTTTTGCATCCGACGAATGAAGAGAAGATGGTTGTCGCTCTCGGCCGCCCGTGGAATGATTGTGTCCAACGGAGAAGTGACCGGCGAGCCGTGCTCGAATTCGAAGGGCGACATCCCGATAGCTGGGTGGATGGACGAGTTGTATGCCAACTCGACATTTGGCAGCCGCTCAACCCAATCCTTTTGGTCGGGACGTATGCGAGTGTGAAGGAGAACCTGTGTGGTTTGATGCGCCCTCTCCGTTTGGCCATCGGTTTGGGGGTAGCGAGACGAACTTGGCTTGAGAGATAAGCCCCATCGTTTGATAAGCGCCAACCAAAAATCGTACATGAACCGAGTGTCGCCGTCGCAAACGATTTTCTTGGGGTAACCCTTGGTTCGAATCCAACCTGCGTAAAGAACCTTGGCCAACTCCGGTGCCTTGGCATGATAGCGGCAAGGCAAAAACATGGCGAACTTGGTGAGTCGGTCGACCACCGTGAGAATCCCATCCACACCAGTCTTGTGCTTGGGGAATGGCCCGGTAATGTCCATGGCAATCACCTCCCTTCGGCGCAAGGGGACTGGTAATGGTCGCAACTCGCTGGACAGACGATGATTGCGGGATTTGCAACGTCGGCAAACCTCACATGACTCGCAATAGCGTGTGACGTCGTCAAGAAGAACGAGCTACCAAAAGCGTTCGCGGAGTCGGCCAATCGTACGATTGACTCCAAAGTGTCCGATGGCGGGAGTGTCGTGGAACTCGCCAAGAAGCCGTGTGCGCAAGTGTAAATCTCATGGCACACAAAGAAGATCCTTCCCTCGCAAGTGGACGAGCAAGTACCCCTCTTGGATCCGATAGTGCGATGGCGCCGGATTGGGAGAGGAGCAATTTGCGTACTTGTCGCAAAACTTGGGGTCGACTTGGTAGCCGCGGATGAAGCTGTCCCGCAAGTCGTCGTGAATCTCAAAAGTTGAGTACACTGCGGTACAATGGTCCGGACGCCGTGAAAGAGCATCCGCAAAACAGTTTGACTTGCCCGGAATGTGGTCGGGGAAAAAGTCAGACTGGTTGATGAAGGTCATCCAACGGGCAATAGTGCTATTGACCGTGTCTTGGGTCTTGTAGAAAACCAATGGATTGTTATCCGTTACCCATCGGAACTGCCGTCGACCGAGCAGAAAACGCCACCAGCGATTGAGCGCATGTACGGAGGCCAATAAATCCTTCTTCAGTGCGTCGTCAATCGAGTGCACGGCGGACACTTTCTTGCTAAAGTACTCGATCGGGTGCCAGTCCACGCCATCATGTTGCTCGAGGACGGCACCAATGCCATAGCCGGACGCATCGGTAGTGACACGTGTCGGTAGAAGCGGGTCGTAGATGCGCAACACCTCCGCGGATAGCAATGCGGCTTTGAGAGCCAAAAAGGAAGTCCGCGCATTGTCGTCGAAGTCGAATGGCCGGTCCTCGCATTGAAGCTTGGATAAAGGAGCCGCGATCTTCGAGTATCCCTTGATGAAGCGTTGATAGTAGCCAGCTAAGCCAAGGAAGGAACGAACATTTGTAATGTTCTTTGGCTCCGGCCACTCTTGGATGGCTTAAATCTTGTCCGACAACGGATTGATGCCCTCCGGTGTGACAAAATGGCCCAAGTATTCCAGCTCTTGCCGGACAAATTCACACTTGTCGCGGTTGGCTTTGAACTTGGTGCGCCGGAGCGTCTCCAACACTCGTCGAAGGTGCTCAAGATGATCCTCCAATGTCCGGCTATAGACGAGAATGTCGTCTAAGTAGACTAGTACGAACCGGTCCAACATCGTACGAAACTCGTTGGTCATTGCCGCTTGAAAGGTCGCCGGGGCATTGGTGAGGCCAAAAGGCATAACGATCCACTCAAAATGCCCGTACCGTGTCTTCAATGCGGATTTGTAGCAATCTTGCGGGTGTATCGAGATTTGATGGTAGCCCGACTTCAAGTCCAACTTCGAGAAGAATTTTGCGCCGCCCAAATGCTTGAGAAGGTCGTCAATCCGCGGAAGAGGTCCCGCATTCTTGCCGGTTTGTGCGTTGAGCTTGCGGTAGTCGATGCGCAAGCGAAGATACTTGTTCCTCTTCCCTACGAAGAAAACTGGTGCACCGTAATGGCGAGCTACTAGGGCAGATCCAGCCCTTGTCCAACAGATCATCGAGTTGAGCGCGGAGAACCGCAAGCTCTTCCTCGCTCATGCGATAGATGCATCCTTTCGGTGGCACGACACCGGTCTCAAGAATGATCTCGTGGGAGATCGGCCGATCCGACACCACACCGGTAGGAGACTCGAAGATGTCAGTGAACTCGTCGAGCAGCCGCACCACTCGGGGGTCTGAAGACAAGTCCGTAGGTGAAGATTCGGTCGTCGCGGCGGCTCGTAGAAAACATAGGCCTATCTCGTCGGTCCGCTCGTAAGCGCAAGTGGCCCGAAAAGACTTGGTCGTTACAACTTGGCACCGGATCGAGGAGTGCGGAAGAGGAATGGTACACGGCACCTCGGCGCCGAAGGCGTCGCGAACGGTAAGTGTCCGTTGATGGAAGTTAACCGTGTGATCCGCACTTGCAAGCCAAGGCATCCCCAAAATAATGTCGAAGTCTGTGTCAAAGACGTCAAATGTCACCGTTTCGCATGCACGAGGTGCGAAATAAACCGGCACAGCTTCAATGTAGCGATCGAGGAGTTGTTGCTTCCGACCGTCCGCCAACTTGATCGTTGTCAGGTTTGGCTTCCTTTGAACTTGTGCGCCAAGGCCAGCCCTTTGGATAAAGGACTGGCTTATGAAATTGCAAGTCGCGCCGCTATCCAGCAAAGCGCTGCAGGACGCTTGCCCAACTTGGATGTGGACATAAAGGAGCGGTGCGTTGTTATCATCGCACCGCTGCATGCGAAACTCGCGGGCCACCTTGGTAACGTACGCAAGGATGTCCCCCACCGCAGCTTCGTCATCCATCGGCGAAGGTGGTGGTGCATAGAAGGCTAAGTATGTGTGGAGATGGGCGCATAGTGCTGCGCATTGCGGTCCCGACAAGAAGCCTGTGGAAGGGAGAGGAAGCCATGCAGATTCCTCGGACGTCAACGGGTCCAAGACCTCTATGTTGAACTCGTACGTCGAATCCCTTGAAGAACCACTTGAAGACGATTCATTGTTGTTGTTGCCGGACGGAGAAGAAGCCGCACACACATCTTGTCCTTGAGCTTGAGAACCCAGCGACGGAACGAGTCGGGCAGCATAGTCCTCGTAAGTATATAAGAGAGGACTGTCGACTTCCGCATGTGCCTCGGAATGAAGAGAGGTCGCTCGCGAGGCAACCGATTCCGAAGGCGTCGAGAGTGCAGCTGCATCACTCTCGGCGGTGCTCACTTTCCCGAAGGGAATTTGCCTTTGACTTGCGTGGGGCACATTGCGGTGTCGTGCACCGCGCTGTTGCACCACAAGCAGTATTGGTACTTAGTACGGATGCGGTTTACGCCTTCCGAGATATCGTAATGTGTCAAAGGCTCTTGAGCCGCTGGTCCGGCCCCGGGGGATGAATTGGTGTGTGTCTTCGGTTTGTCGCGTCCTCGCCCTCTGGCGGGGCGGCCACCATCCCGGGCAGCTGTCAATCTGTCTCCTTCATCAGAAGAGGCAGCCTCGTTCGAAGGATCGGTCGCTGTAGTTGCTGCGACCACGGCCACTTTCGGCCGATGCTGATCTCTGCCCTGGCTCGCAGCGGACGAACGACCCAAATTCTTGGCTTCGGTGTTCGTCACGATGATCTGCGAGGCTTTATAAAAAAGCTGCTCAGTTGTGGTGAGCGTCTCCACAACTTGCGTCAAGGCATTCTGCAACGCTGGACAACTCCTCCTGATGAAGAAGTGTTTGATGGCGACGAAGTTCGATGGCAAGTTGGGCGTGGATGCCAAGCGTTGGTACACGGTTATCCAATCCGTGCTTGGCAGGTCGTTCTGATAGAACCGTTGAAGTTTCTCGGCTGCCTGAAGCTCGGGCGGCTCCACTTGGAACCGCTTTTGCCATGCTGCCTTGAGATCAGCCCAGCTGATCTTCGTATGCAGCTCGGAGACTGCGACGTTGTGCGTGGACAACATGTTGTGCAGCCATGCCTGGCATGCGCCCCCTGAGCGGGAGTACAAGTATGCGTGCCGGTTCGGGTTGATGTGGTGAATGTCCAACTTCAACTCGAACTGGCGCCACCATGGGATCGGGTCTGTCTTCGTTGCATCGCAGAAGATCGGCAGGCCGTCAAACTTTGGGATGCTCTCGCGAGTAGTCGCGGTCGGACTGGCTGCAGCAGCACAAATCCACTGGTCAATCCGCTGATTTGTCGCTAGAGCGCCGTCCTTGAGAGTCTCGACGTTGATTTCCAAGACATTGACGCGGTCCGTGAAGTTGGAGGGTCCGGCGGGGGTGGCTGTTGTTGGCTGCTGTTCCAGCCGGCGTACCCGGTCAAGCAGTTTGTCGATAAGTCGAGCCTGCTTCTGGACCAGGGTGTCCACGCAGAGGATGTCCTCTTGCTGTGCTGCACAGGTGCCGACCAAGTCGCTCACATGTTCGATTGTGGTTGCAAGGCCACGCACAGCAGGGGGAACACCCTCCTCTTCAGCAGCCACTGCCCATTCGTTGACAATGACCTCGATGTCCCCCTCGCATTTGAGGATTTTGTCTCGGCGTAGTCGACGGCGTTCGTCTGCGGCCTTCCTTGCTGCCTCAGCGTCCTCCTGTCGCTGCTGCTCAGCGAGGCGACGCTGTCCCTCTGCTTCCTGATCTTCCTTCTTATGTGCGGATGTTGCCGCAGGTGCCCGTTGCTTGAACTCTGCTACCATGTCCAGCATGCGGGTCTCATAGGCCTCGGTAGTCTCGCCTGGCTGCTGATCCATGCCGCTTGTCTTTGAGCGGGTGAGCACCATGCACTGACGTGACCTGCTGCTGCGGTGACTAGTTGCTGACGTGGCACTGCTGCCGTGTCGTGCTGATGTGGCCTGCTGACGTGGCAACTCACCAATGCCGCCGCAGGGGGTACCCGGAGGCAGATAGAGAAAACCAGAGGGGGCAACAACATAGGTGGCGAGAGGTGGGATAAATCGCCCAGATAAGGAGCCACTAATCAAAAAAAGAAAAGTTTGAACTTTGCAAAAAAATTCGAGAAAAAGAAAAAAATACTCGTTTGCAAGTTCAGTAGGCCTCCCAATTTCCCTGAAGTGCAAAATTACCAATGAGATAAAATTTTGAACTTTCAGACCGCAAATGATTTTCCGATAAAAGAATTCTGAAAATAAAGTACCAAAAAAAATTCGGAATTACTCGGATGAGAGTACGTGCAGTTTGGAGAATGATAACTGCAAGAGGGATTCCCGTACCGTTTTCAAAAAAACGGATTTCAGAAAAAAAATATTCCGGATTTCCAAATAACGGGAAATTGCAAAAGGTAATCAAAATTTTCGAAAAAAGATATTCCACATTTTCAACAACGAAATTTTGAATTTTCACAAGAAAAACGAAATCGGAAATTTCAGATGTTGCGCTATTGCGATTTTCCACAACAGAAATAGCAAGAAAACAAAATCCAAGAAAAGAAAATTTTTTGATTTTCGGCAGTGAGGTCAAAATCCTGATTTGGGGGGTTAACTAGTGTGCTCTAATCAATCAATCAAGACTAATCGGCTACTCAGTCCCCGCAGACGTGTCAGATCAGGTTGTCCTGATTCACATGCGGTGTTCCAATACCAACTGTTACATGCCCAGTTGGGCGATGTACATATATAACCAAGGATCTGCAATGTGATAAAAAGCACTGAATGGACAATGCAGTGCAAGTAGAATCTCAACAAGCAGTGTGCATTCCGATACATACAAGAATGGTGCTTTATAGCGCAGTGGAAGACTTAGATACAAGTCCTGACCTGACCGGGACTGACCTCTTTCACGTAGTACAAGATAGCAAAGCAGAATGCTCGAATACTAATGACGAGCCCAATCAATGTCGCAATGCAGACTAAACATACATCATTCTCACCACAAGGTGTGCAGGGGCCTGGCGCTATACACAGGAAGAAGGCGCCAGGTCCAGACATGCACAGACGAAGAGGAGGGGATCAGACGAAGAGGAGGGGAGAGATGGGAAAGTCGTCAACACCAAGTCTCGTTACAAGTCCCAAATAATCCCTCGTCAAAATGTCTGAAGCCCATGTCGAGTCTGGGTCCAAATGTCATCAAGCTCTCTCTCTCTCTCTCTCTCTCTCTCTCTCTCTCTCTCTCTCTCTCTCTCTCTCTCTCTCTCTCTTGTAGTCTGCTGATGCAGTGAAGTCAGGTAGCGAGAGGGTGAGAGGGAGATGGTGGACWGAGAAGAGGAAGAAGAAGAACTCTCTCTCTCTCTTTCATGTGCCAGGTACTAACCTGTGAAGATGGCGCTGTGCTGCAGGTACCTCGAAGACGAAGCTGGAGCAACGGTGCTGCAGGTAAGTCTCCCTGGCCTCCGCCCAATCTCTCTCTCTCTCTAGTACTGCTCTAGCTCCTATGGCACCCAGCGCTGAAGACTACTGCTAACGCCACTAGCGCCCAGCGCTGAAGACTGCTGCTAGCGCTACAACTACTACTGCAGCGCTCCTCCAGAGTGCTGCTGCCGAATCCTGAAGACTACCTCCTGCCTCCTGAACTGCAAGTGAAGTGCCTGGGAAGTACCTAGGAACTACCTGCAGCCTGCAGGGCGGGCCAGTCTTATATAGTGCTGGCCCGTCCAGGAGGCTGCTCTTGCCAATGCCAAAACGTGCCAGACCCTGGGGTTGGAGCTCAAACGAAGGTTGTCTTGAAAATCGGCCAAAAATGGCCTGAGCTAAAACCCTGGTCTGGTGCCTGAGTTTCAGGGCAGGTCGTTCTTATGAGGGCCTGAAAATGGCCCTCAGTTTCAGGCTGAAAAGACTCAGGGCCGGAAAGGCCCTGATTTAGGCTGAAACGACACAGGGCCTGTTGGCCCTTGTTTTCAGGCTTTCAGGCTGAAATGACACAGGGCCTGTAGGCCCTTGTTTTCAGGCTTTCGGGCTGAAAACGACACGGGCCTGAAAATGGCCCGTGCAGCCTGTTGCAGGCGCAGCATGTAACACTCACACAGTTCGTTTTGAAACCCACCAAAGAATCACTACACCACAAGAGGAGTGCTGTCTCTCTGAAGTCTTCTCCATTCTCTTTCATTCTCCTGCCTTCCATTGAGCAGCAGTGCCATGACCCTGTTCCTTGCCCTTCTGTGGTGGCAGGGATTGCCCATCGATCTGCATGACAGCAATAGGCAATTGCTACTGTGCGAGGATTTGCCTCCTCAGCATGCCCCTGAGGGGCTCCCACAACCAGCATGCACCCGCCCTAAGTGAAGGTGGGCCCCTGAATTTCGATGAGGCCTGTATTTGTCAATTTTGAACAGTCTTGGTTGGCGCCAGACAGTTGACACGCGCCAGTTGGTTACATCCACCGTGCTCGTGAGGGTCAGCAAAACACACGAAGGCTCACCACACGTGTGTACCTGGGTGGTTGGGGTTGCCTAACCAATTCGGTCCCAGGCCACTGTCTGAACGGGCCTGGACACAGACACTTTGGCCGAGAGTGAAGCTACTGGAAACTCGGTCCCACGAGGCAGGCAGCAAGCAGCGAGCCCTGCCACTTTCCATTTAGGAAAGGGCCTGGGCTTTAAGAAGAAAAAGGGAAAAAAAAAAGAAAAAAAAAAGGGAAAGGGCCTGGCTATGCAGGGGGCATTCCGGCACTGCGCCAGCGATGCTGCAGCGCTGCTACTTCGAGCGTTGAAGCCGCTAGTGCTCGTACTCGAGCGTGGTTGCGGGAAGGTAGGGCGCTGCTTTCAGGCAGCGCCATAGCCCAGCCTCCATAGCCAGGCTGGGGCTTGGGCAGTCAGCGGGGTTGTTGACGGTGGTCTTCAGGAAGTGAGGAGACGTGGGTGAAGAAGACGAGGGTGATGAGAGAGACGGCGAAGGAAGAGGTGATGTGAGGGCACGTACCTGGTCTTGGCGATGGTCTGCATGGTTGACATCTGCTTGTACTTCGGTTGCGGATGCTGACGTCAACAGGTTGATTGTCATTTCGTTGCTAGTAGAGTAGCTGTAGGATAGTAGTCTGGGTGTTGAGCGCCAGTAGGAGGAAGAGTTACGATTGCATTGTTGGTGGTGGCGAGTATATGCTTTCATTGAGAATTGAGTTCAGTGCGTTGGTTCTCCTTTCGGTGTATAATCAGTGCATTTCTGCTTTCTGGACAGCAGTCAACTACTAACGGGTCCAAAACTGAAATTAGGGTTTCGGGGTCAAATTTTATGTTTTTTTTCATCGATTTTCTTTTTTTTTGCCTGATTTTGTTTTGGTTCAAGGTTGCTTTGTCTGAAATTGGAGTGTTGGCAAAATTTACATGAAAACATTGAAAAGTGCAACTTTGCCTTGTAGATCTACAGTTTGTTTGGTTTTTCCGTTTATTTTTTTCGCAGTTAGTTAATATGGTGTCCACTCTATGGTTTGATGGCAAGTTCGGTTAACTTTTGTTATAAATGACGTGAGCTGCGTGACAAATTGTCTGAAAATTTTGGCCTCCATTAACCCTCTCTCTGAAAAGGGATATAGAGAGTGAGAATGATGTGCGCAACAGTAGCAATCTCAGGACGTTCTTTCAGGGTTCAACTGGGTGCACTTTCGCCAAGCTCGCACCTGCCTGCAGAGAAAAGCTGGTATCTGGATGATGTCTGCCACTTTGCCAACTGCTTCGCACTTTCAACCCATCAAGAAATAGAAAATGGATCAAACAAGATAGTCACATGCCACCAAACGCAAAGCACAAGGAGCATGTTAAACATTGATGGAGCTGATCAGTCTTCAATGACTCTTCATCGTCGACAAACAAACGCTGAGAAATATGTTGCGTGGCCCCTGGGCCTGGGCATCTTTTCTCTTCCATCCCATCTCCGCGGTTATGGATGCCTAGCACCATTATCAACTTATCATACCCCTTCATAACTGATCTAGGCGCGTCTATGTACACCATACTCAACTCTAGTTATTTCAGGGCATGTTGCCACCTGGCAGCACTCAACCAGGATGTCTGACCGTCCGTCATGCAACACGAGCGAAGCATGAGCAAAGACCCTTGTAAGCAGAGTTGCATACCTGCCGACCGCAACGAAGCATGAGCAAATACCCTTGTAAGCAGGGTTGCATACCTGCCGACCGCCTGCCCTGACCGCCGACCGTTTTGCAGCCGACGAGTAGGGCTCACCGGTCAGCGGTCTGCCGACCAGTCAGAAAACAGCTATCTGCTGAGTTTTTTCAAATCTGACTTGGGGGCTGTAGTGCGCTTGCTGAGTACAGCCCAAATCCGCTGAGAAACTTTTGGGGATGGGGGAGTGTAATGAAACCTGCAGATTCTCAGTGGACTGTACATTAGGCTGAGGACGAAGCCTGGGGCTTGCCTCGGTCTGGTCGCGTCGTAGGTTAGATTCATGATTTTGTGTTTTCTGTGTTTTGTTGTCTGTGCTGTTGCTGTGTTTTTTTCTTAACGCATTGAGGTGCGATGACGTGCTGATTTCTGCTGCCGTGACTAACGGCGAGGGTGTACCCTGTTGCGTGTGCCTGTTGTGTTTTGCAGCGTGCTTTGTTGTGTGTGCGTGCAGAGTTTT